GGGCGCGGCGGCCGCGGCGGCCGCGGGCGCGGCGGCGTGTCGGCGGCGGACGCGAGGCACATGGGGGCGATCCTGGCGGCGCTGCTGGGGGATGAGGATGAGGAGGGCGGCGGGGAGGAGCAGGAGGAGCAGCAGGCGGCACAGCAGCAGCAGCAGCAGCAGCAGGCCGCGATGCAGCAGCAGCAGCAGGCCATGGCGCAGCAGGCCGCGATGCAGCAGCAGCAGGCAATGCAGCAGCAGCAGGCGGCGATGCAGCAGCAGCAGCAGCAGCAGTATGCGTTGATGCAGGCGCAGGCGCAGCAGCAGCAGCGGATGGCGATGGGGCTTGGGGGCCAGCAGCAGATGTGGCGGTGATCCCGACCTCGCCGGCCCGCCAGGGCGCCGCCTCACCCCCCCCCCCCTTCCCCCAACCCTCCCAAGCCGCCGCCGCGCCGGCGGCCGCGGTAGGAGCGGGGCTGCAGGCAGGGGCGCGGGCGCGGCGGCGTCGCCAGGCGGAGCCTGGCGAGGCGGCAGCGGCTGCCCCTTTCAGTCGGCCCGACCACTGCCACCACGGGGCCGGAGCGGCCGCGGCGCGGCGGCGCGGGCCGTGCGGGCCGCGCGGGTGGGGCGCTAGCGGCCGTCGAGGGGTTGCTTTGTGGGTGGCGAGGGCCTGGGCCTGGGCTTTGGGGGACAGAAGGGAAGGGAGGGGCTTGCTCAGCTCTGGTTAGGCAGCGAGGGATTGCGGTTTCGGCCCGAGAAGGCATCAATTTGCAGATTTGCAAGGCGGGTGTTGCGGGCGCCGGCCGCGGACGCCGGCGTCAGGGCGCTGGCCCGCTCACGCGCACCGGCGCTGTTTTGACTGTGCTGGATTGTAAGGAGCATAGACTGATACTGTCCTGTTGCAGTCGAGACCGGCGCGCCCTGCTGCAGTCAAGAAGGAGCGGCGCCCCCGCTGCACAGCTGCTGAGGCCGCAGGCCGGCTGGCGGTGCGTGCGGGCCGGGGCCGACTCCTGCACGTTTCGCACCCTTGCCCAGCTCCGATCGGGCGCGAGCCGGTTACACGTCCGTGGAAGCGGCACAGCAGGCGCGACGCGCTCATGCCGCGGCCAACAAGTACGGCGGGTGTCGGAAACAGAGGGGAAGCCAGAGGGGCACGAGCTGTTTGCAGGTGGCAAACGTCGGGGAGAGTTGCAGCTGATTGCTCACACCCTCAAAGGAGCCGAAGGTTCCTTGTTATGGGAAAAGAAGGGGTGGGCAGAAAGGCGGGGAAAACACAGGTCGTTTCTTGCAGGTGGGTCGAGTACACGGGTCGTCCGCCGCGACGGCAGCATATTTGTTGATTGGATTCATGGCAGGCCAGACGGCAGTGTGAGGGGGCCAGTCACCAGATGGCAAGAGACGTGGGCAGCAGTCAGACGCGGCGCGTCACCACCCAGAGCACGCGCACGTGTGCATGGGTGCATCGAGGAAGAAAGGAAAGAGTGTGGCAAAGAAACGCTGGGGCGGGCCTCATGACTGCGGAGGCCCGCTCCCGAGTAGGCAGTCAAAGCAGCCAAAGCTGCGGTTGCTCTCCAAAGACAAGCTGATGTGACGTCACTCCATCAAAATCCTGCATATGATGCAGATGCACCCGTGCAGCCGCTGCGTACTATTGGTCGCGTTTGGCTGAGCTTATTCACAGTGAGAGCTGGGCCAGCATGCCGCGCGAAAGCACCCCGGCCGCGCCCCAGGGTGAAGCGTCCTCCACCTGTAGGCTCAGCCCCCTGAATAGCTTGGGACCGCTGCTGCTGCTGCTGCGGCTGCTGCCGCTGCTGCCGTTGCCTTGCGATATCACTGCGAACTTGAGGGGCGGCGCCATGCGAACCCGGCGCGGCGCGTCGCAGGCACCGCCACCTGACGCGGCCCCCGCAGCAGCTGCCGTCGCGGCGCCCGGCCGCCGCATGCGCCGCACCCACAAGACCACCGCATCAACGTTTGCCGCAACCCGAGCGCGCGCCGCGGGCGGCGCGGAGGCGGGTCGCACGGCCAACACGAGCACGGGCGGGGGTGCGAGCGTGCCTCTGGCCGACACCGCGGCCGCGCGAGCGTACGCTGCCCTGAGCCACGCCCAAATCTGTTCGCGCGTCGCGGCGCACGAGCTGTCAATGAGGATGACCACGTGGCCTCTGACAAGATTGGGATACACGCCAGGCCGTGGCGGCGCCGCTGCCATTGCAGACTGTGATGGTGCTGGGGCGGTTGTTGTGGGTGCTGACGACAGGCCGGCGGGCAACGCCAGCGGCGCTGTGGACGGCATCAGTACGAGAGCCCCGGCGCTCATAGCACTGCGACCCTTGCCCACGACACGGGGCTGGGCGTCTGAGTCCTGCACGCCGGTGTGGATTGGGGGAACATGGGTGCGATGAAAGCTGATGACAACCGGCTTCAATTGGCAACGGAGGGTTGGGAGGCAAGGTGGCCGCATATATATAACTTTGCTTTTTGAAATCGACGCGACTTCACCCCGCTCCCGTCGCCCTGATTTGAGCTCACCAGGTCGGCTCTGGTGGCTGGCTCGGCGTGTTTGCACAGCGGAGAGTCTCGACACGGTGACAGCTAACACATCGGGGACAATTGCGCACAGGTGGAGGTTCCGTGTGGCCGTGGCTCCCCCACCTTCTCGTTGTCACCGGTGCCAGGTGACCGTGGTGGTGGCCAGAATGTGGCTGCGGCAGCCGTAGCAGGTATGTTGATCAATGGGTGCACACTGCACTGCCATGACGCTGTTATGATCTATGCTGCGGCGCCCGCATCGGTCATGTCTCGAGCCCTGGGATTGCAGGGCAGCTCTGCACTGGCGGTGGGTCCTGGGTGTATCCCAGATTCCAGCGAGCATCTCGGCACAGTGCTGCATAGGCACCGCGCCCAAGATGGTATCCAGTGGCAGGACGACAAACATACACAGCTCCTCGATCCAACTGGGAACCATGGGCTGTAGGTACTCGCAAGTCAGGTGGTGACATCATCACCCGGCCCTCCATTGCCATCCAGGGCCGGGGTGGCCACCCCGTGGCGCATACCAAAGGCCCCACATGCCCATCGCTGGAGCCCGGCTGTCGCTCTGTGTGTGTGTGCCTGGGCCGCGGGGCTTTGGCCTGGGCGGCTGGCCCACCCACCTCACCCTCCGCCGTGCGTCACTCAAGACAGGAGCGACGGCGTGAGTCAGCCTCCGCACAGCGCTCCCGACGCCATAGCGGCCGCGGCCCCTCGTGCCCGGGCCCGCCCAGCATTGGAAACTCGGCCAATTGAGGCGCAGCACCCAATTGGGAAGGGCCGATTTGTGCCTTGAGGCCTGCGTGCGGCGATCCCTGCAACCCTCGCACCGCACTCACTGTGAAGTTCTCGGCGTCTTCGTTGCCCAGTCTCATCGATCGACGAGGGTGAACAGCACCAACTTTGGTGCGAGGGCGCCTACTGGGGAACCTGAGTGCTCGTGGCATGGGCGGTATTGCCGCCCCGCTAGGGCTTGCGGGCTGCTTGCCGGCGGTTCGAGCAGCGTCCAGCAAGGAGCCTGGACTTTGGGTGGTCGAGTGCCCGGTTAGAAAATGGTTGGGTGAGCAAGTGGAGGTGGGGCATGCCCTGCTCACCTGTGGCAGCTGCACCCCGCAAAGCCAAGGCCAGGGTGGCGGACGCCTTTGTTAGCGGCTTGCGCGGCTTGGCTCAGACGCCGCGCCTACCGCACTGTGTGTGCGGTGTGTCTCTTTACACCCGCCCTGTGAACAGTGCTGTCACGTCGCTGCGCGCGACCCGCTTGCCAGCACTGTGCCGCAAACATGTGGCCCAACTCGTTGCCAACTGGTGGTGCGCGCACGAAGCAGGCGAGCCACAACGATATGCACGCAGGGTCACGCAGAGCTCCTGCCGCAACACAGCCATCCCACATGCAGCAGTTGTTCATGGTCGTGCACCACATTGCATGCTCAGCGACTTCCGGGGCTCTCGTGGCGGTAAAGGCTCAGCAGTGTGATGTCATCATGTCTATTGAAGACAGTGAAACCACAAATCCCTATGTTTCTGTTGCGGAACAAAACTCCCAAGCAATGTTGCAGAAATCACCTGTGACAACAATTTTGTCGGTTACGTCCTCCCTCACTTCCATCATCACCATCATCAACACCCAGACTTGGGAGGGCACAGCGGTGTGAATGGGGTGGGGCGGGATGGCACAGATGAGGGGAAACCCGTTCCAAAGCTCGAGAGCGCTGCAAAGTTGCAACATCGTGCGAGCACATCGCAAAAGGCACATTCGTGCGACACGTCAGGCAACAGCATTCGCCCGACGATCCCGCTGTCTCCTGGCAGCAATCGACGTGAACAGCTGACCGTCCCAAAATCGTGCGACATGCACAACATGGTGAACAGAATCCCCCAGGCCCCCCAGCGACAATGTTCTACACAACACCCTTGTTCACAAGAAGTTCCCAGTTTTTTAATCTTGGAAGGGCGATTCATGTGACATGTGGAACAAGTTGTGTTGACCCAACACTGCCTCCAGCCACGTTCGCATCCGGGTGCAACTGCAGTTGTGCTGGGCAAACCCGATTTCAAAAAACGAGCAGGACCCAGAACTTGCTGCGCCACAACCATCAATCTCGGTCTCAGGGGGCTCCTCTGCGCGAACTTGCACAGTGAGGTCCCGCAGCCGAAACCTGCGGCTGATAAGGCGTCGCTCTTGAAGACCAAGCAAGCGTACGCACTGCACAAATCCATGGTCGCACGTCCACGCATGCACCTAACTGGCTTGCAGCAGTTGTGGTCAGTACGTCAAGTGCCGGTCGCAGATGCGAGTCATGGCCGATGCGACTGTTGTGCCAAACCATGGTAGTAACCGCTCATTGGCTGCTGGGGGCTATGGGGGACGGACCGAACCACCAGCGAGAGCCGCCGCTTGCTGATAATCACACATGATGCCGTCATAAGACAGGAGACCCTGGGGTGAGATCAGAGCAGCCATGCCCATGCGATGTGGCCCCATGCGTTGTCACGCTGTCGCTCATGCACACGGCTGTGCACGCAAACGGGCTGTCGCGATCATGCCTAACTGAGCAAGCAGTGCGTATGTGCTGTTCATCTAGAAGCTTGCATGGCGCAACGTGCAGCCCTTCGTCAACCCTGCTTGACGAACAGGAAGCGCGAGGTGCAAACACATTTGAAGCAGCTCAGAAATGTAGGCCCCACACCTCCGCTTTATCGTTCCTTTTCTCCAAACATTTTCTCGTGGGATAGTGACATTAGAACACATTAAGATGGGCCGCAGTGAGCACATACTGAAAGCAGCGGGATGTGCAGTGAGGGCGGCCGCGGGCAGCCATGCCTTTTGCAACGCATGAACGCGATAAGATATGCATCATGAGTTTGTCTCAGCGCGACTCGCAGCGTTCCAGCGTGGCATCCTTTGGCGAGCAGCATGCAGCTTGGCCTCCACTATCGAAGGCAGAAGCACAGCTGCGCTTGCAGCCTCTGCGGACCACTCACGGCTGTCCCACTACGTTGCATGCATGCAGGGCCGGCGCGCTGCTACAGGCAGTCCAAGGGCAAGCCATACCCCAAGAGCAGGTACTGCCGTGGTGTGCCCGACCCCAAGATCCGTATCTATGATGTGGGCATGAAGAGGGCTGACGTGGACACCTTCCCGTGCTGCGTCCACCTGGCAAGGTGCGCGCGTGGCGGCGGCGGCGGGGCGTGGGCATGCGGGCTGGGTGGACGGCGCATGATGCTTGTCGTGCGCATGTGTGCTGGCGCTCCTGCTGTGTTGGTGATGGTGAGGTGGCGCTGCTGCTGCATGGTGTCCTGAGCAGTGTCAGCACCTGACGGCGCCTTGTGAACGGGGCATGGGCTACTCGTCGTTGTTGAGCACAGACAGCAGCCACTGCTGGGGCAGTGGGGTGGCTGCATCAGCATCTGCAGCAGTCGTGCAACATACAGGAGAGCCATTGGTGGGCGCTGTTTGCATGCTCGGTGGAGCAGTAGCCTCACCTGCCGCAGTCAGAGTGGCAGGGCCACTTTAACGGCACAGGCTGCTTCTCGAGGCAACTTGGTCAGAGCAGGCAGCACCGGGGGTAGTGACGGCGCAGGAGCACCGGCAACCACGGCGGTGGTCGGTGGCGGCGATGGTGGCTGCGGCGCGGGCAGCGGCGGCGGAGGCCGCAGCAGCAGCGCTTGCTGCGGTGGCAGCACCGCGGCCACCCCCCACTGCAGCAGCTACAGCCTTGCGGACGGCGCCGACGCCGACATCTGGGCGACAGGCATATGCCAGCAACACCAGCAGCATACGGTGCACACGAGTTTGTCGTTGACCCTCACCCCCCCCCACACACACACACATGCAAGTACTTGGGGGTAAGCCAAACCCCCGTATTTTTTGCCATCTCAACCCTTGTGCGAGGAAACGCCCCCACACACCCCCGGTCACCTCACTCCCGCCGAGCTCAGTTGGGAGAAGGAGAATGTCTCGTCCGAGGCGCTGGAGGCGGCCCGCGTGGCGGCTAACAAGTACATGACCAAGAACGCCGGCAAGGAGTCCTTCCACCTGCGCGTCCGCGTGCACCCCTTCCACGTGCTGCGCATCAACAAGATGCTCTCGTGCGCCGGCGCGGATCGGCTGCAGACGGGCATGCGTGGCGCGTTCGGGAAGCCGCAGGGCGTGGCGGCGCGCGTGCTGATCGGGCAGATCCTCATGTCGATCCGCTGCAGGGACCAGCACCAGGGCGTGGTGAGTGCAGGGTGTTGGGTCTGCAGGGCGCCGGTGGGCGGCTGTATTGGGGTTGGATGCTATAGTCGTGTGGGGCTGCGGCTGTCGATGTAGCGGGTTTTCAGCCGGCGGCGGCGTAAGCTTGGAACTGGGAGGTGTGTGGGTTGGAAGCCGGCAATTGTATTGGATATGGGAAACCTGCACATCTGATATCAAGGGGCGGCAGAAAAAGATGGGCGCCTCGACAAGCAGCGGCGGAGCACTGCCGCCACCCGGCTGCGGCCACCCAGGCGGCGCCGCTGGTGGCCGCTGCGCCGCACAAGCCGCATGCCCCGCCCTGCTAGGCGGGCCTCTCGCCTGCCCGCCTCATAGGTCGGCTTCTCAACCTCTGCACGCCCCCCTCCCCTCCCCTCCCCACACATAACATACCCTTGCTTCCCCCACAATCATCGCGCCCCGCTCGTGCTGCACCTCATTACCAGGCCGCCGAGGCGCTGCGCCGCGCCAAGTTCAAGTTCCCCGGCCGCCAGAAGATCGTGACCAGCCGCAACTGGGGCTTCACCCCCTACTCGCGCGACGACTTTGTGCAGTGGCGCAAGGAGGGCCGCCTCGTCAACTCGGGCGTGCACGCCACGGTGCGTGCCGCGCGCCGCCGCCGGCCGGCCAGCGCTTTGGGGCTGGGGTTTCTGGGCAGGTGGCGCGCTCCGTGCGCCCCTGGAAACTCTGAGCACGTCCTCGCTTGGGTAGCCAGGCACCTGCGGGCGTCACGTCCATTTTGACCCTCTTTGTCGCTGACAAACTCCTCACACCCCTTGCTGCCCCCCCCCTTTTCCATTGCCGCCGCAGCTGCTGGGCGCCCGCGGCGCGGTGGCGGACCGCGCTCCTGAGCACCTGTTTGCCTCGGCCGCGCGCATCCACAAGATCCCCGTCCACCCTGAGTAGGCGCCCCATCATCCATGCAGCTGCTAGGCAGCTGCTGCGGCGGTTGCGGGGCTGTTCCGGACAGGATTGTCTGCGGGTCGCCGCCGCGTTGGCGCGGCACCGGTGGTGCGCCGAGGCTTTTCTCTCTGGCGGCACTACTCCTGCTGCCGCGTAACTGATTTTTTTGGTTATACAGCAGACGCGGCTGGATCAGCTAGCTGGCAGCCGTTCGTGCGTATGTGTGCGCACGAGCCGCACGGTTGTGTCTGTGTTGTAAATTGGTGTGATTCTCGACTCTGTATGGCTCCTCAGCACAGCTCCTGGCACTAGATGGGGTGCCTTTCTATTGCCGTGCTCAGTTGTGCATAAGCTGAGACAAGAGTGTGACGAGAGGGGACGATGTATTCCATCTGCAGGGGGTAGGGGTGCAGGAAAGGCAGGGGCCTTCTGGTGGACTTGTGGGGTTTTGCAGCATGTCTCACCAAGCCAGTCCACTCCAGTCAACTGCAGGATCGTGCTCGCAACAAGTGTGAGCTTGATAGGCTTCCAGCTCACGCTAGCAGAATCGACAAATGCCACGTGGTGGCCATGTGGTGGTGCTAGGTGCCTCGCCTGGTGCTCATGGACGCCATGCCTGCAGCCGCGCCACTGCCTTGAACGCAGCAGCGCTTCGCATCACTTCCTGCGTACTGACGTGCTGGACACGTGACATTGGTATTGACGGATATTTTAAGAGCCCTTTCATCAGACTGATTTTGCGCAGCTGCGACCACAATTTTAGCAGGGTGATCTGGCGACGCCCGAGGGCGCAGCGCATCACACGCCAAGGTGAGCTTGATGAAAACGTAATACTTGAGCTTAGCGTGCAACTACCGTCTCTCAGAGGGAACAACAGCAGCAGCCCTGCGGTGCAGGCACTCACACGGCCGCTGTTTCAGGGCCACTTGCTCGTGATTGTATCAAAGGACATCTGCTGATTGCTTCGCGCTCGTCAGCGCGCGCTCTGCTGAAGCCAGTGCTGATCGCACAAGCAGCTGCATCGGCGTTGGCACCGCCGCACATCGTCCCTGCACCTGGCCACCACTGCAACCCCTTGACCCGCCCGCCAGGCACGCCACAATGAGCACCCTCCCGTCCAGCAGCAGCACCTTCAGCAGCGGCGCGCGGCCACAGCCGCGCCGGCAGCAGCGCGCCGCCCGCGCGCCCCGCCGCGCCGCTGCCGCCGCCCCCCGAGCTGCGCTCTGGACGCCGCCGAGCCGCGGCGCCGGCGGCGCGCCGCGGGAGCCGCAGCAGGGCTGGACCAACGGCGTCAGCGTGGCGCCGATCCAGGCCAACGGGCAGCCGATCATGGCGCCGCGGACGGCCGAGATGGCGGGCGACCCCTTTGGCCTGCTGCTGCGCCAGCGAATCGTGTTTTTGGGCGGCGAGGTCGACGACTTTGGGGCGGACGCCATTGTGAGCCAGCTGCTGCTGCTGGACCAGCAGGACGCGACTAAGGACATCAAGCTGTTCATCAACTCGCCCGGTGGGTGGGCGGGGAGCGGCTGGGGGTTGGGTGTTTGTGTGCGTTGGGGG